GAGGGGAGAGGAAGGAGGGGAGAGGGAGGAGGAGAAAGAGGGGAGAGGAAGGAGGAAGAGGGGAGAGGGAGGAGGAGGAGAGGAAAGAAAGGAGGAGGAGGTGAGAGGAAGGAGGGGAGAGGGAGGAGGAGAAAGAGGGGAGAGGGAGGAGGAAGAGGGGAGAGGAAGGAGGAGGAGGGGGAGAGGAAGGAGGAGGAGGGGGAGAGGAAGGAGGAAGAGGAGGGGAGAGGGAGGAGGAGGTCGCTGTATTTTGAGGAAGAATTTCACACTAGCAGTTACAAATGACTCTGGTTAGGAAGGAATGTGAGGAATCCGCGGGGCACAGCTCTCTCCACCCCTTTCATTAGAGAACTGAATGCTAGAACGGGGTGGGGAAAGGATAAAACAAAAAACATTGCCTATGTGTCCTTGCAAAGTGGAGAGTTTTGAAAATGCAAACAGGTAATATTCTATCAGCCTAATCAATGTTTTAAAAAAATTTCTCCTAAAGGAAAGGGGCTGATAAACACACACCGGAAATGCCCAGAGTGTGGGAAGCTCCGTCTGAATGACTGTCTCTCTTCTGCCCAGTCTTTCTCCCCTTACTTAATGATAGAGCACTCAGGCCACTACGCATAGTTTAGAATACAGGAACACATATACAAAAACAAAAATAGATGTGAGAAGCCCAGAACCGACACTTTGATGTTGCTTCTTAATTCTCACTAATTATCTTTTATCCAAATCAGAATCTTGAGCATAATCACACACACACACACACACACACACACACACACACGTCAATCTCTTCACATTTTATCGTTTTTGGCTCTGCACTTCATTAGACACACTGACTTTTAAATGTCCTCTTTCCTGTCTGTTGTGAAGGCAGGAAACACACACAAGTATATAAATCAAAGGATATCTAACCCCCGACTGTGCCTGTCCTCTCACTTATGATTTCACACTCTCTGGGCATGTTTTTCATCTTCTTTCTATGGCTTATAAAAAACAAAACTGTATTTTCCTGTCTTCTTTGTATTAAATATTTAGAAAATTATAAAAAGTACAAAAGTACAGTATAAATGAGCATTCCTGCCTACTAACGTTCAAAGCTTTCTGATGGTTTCATCAGAGACTCTAAACTTGGGGTGACTGTGTCAAAAATATATAATTATTTACTAAACGTGTGATCAAAACTGATTTCCAGAAAGGGAAGAACCCTAAATCCTACCAGCAATGCCCTGGACCTGCTGTGAGTAATCTGTTAAACTCCACCTCCACAGTCACTTGGCAAAAGCCAGGTACGCTCCTCCCCACAGTTACCTGACAACAGGCAGGTAACCCTGCCCACTATAAAAGGGGCTGCTTGGTCCCTCCTCTCTCTCTTGCCCTCTCGACCCAGGGCCTGCAGGTTGCTGTCTCCCCTCCCCTCTTCCTTTCCCCCTCTCTCCACATGGTCATGGACGGCCTCTATCCTCTCTACTTTTCCACTCTCTTAATAAACCTCCCCTCATGGAACCGTCTAGTCTGCTGTCATCTGTCCCAAGCTGCACGTGGAAATCCTTTTACCTGCTGCCTTCTGCATAACTCACACTAAACAAATGCTTTATTTTACAGGCTAACGGGTGAAAAGTCTTGTTTTCCTTGCCTTGTTTTGTATTGATATCAAGGATGCTTATTCTTTTACTGGCCATTTGAAATTCTCTTAAAAGTCAATTACTTGTGATAGTCATAATTTCTTTGCAGAAATAATATATACTTCTTATTCAATTATCGCATTTTATTTTCGTTTCCTCACACTGTCCTTTTATTATATTATAAACCATCCCCATTCATTTTTCCACTTAGGTTTGTTATGTTTTATGAAGCACAAAATATTTCATTTTCTGAGTCAAGTATATATATGTACTTTTTCTTCACAGTCTACTTCTTTGCTGACTCATCACGGGAGGTCCTTTAGAAGATGAGCAAAGTTCACGTCTATGCTCTCCTTCTTCTTGTTTAACAAACTGATTTTCATATGCAAAATAAAGTAATGAAATGAAACAAATTTTTTAATGAATATCTATTTCTCTCTTCTATGTTGGCTTATGGTAGGTTTTTTTTTTTGAGAACCTTATATTCTTAATAATATAGCCTACATGGGACCTCTTCTTGTTTCCTGATCTGTCAGGAATATTTGTATCTATATTTCCCTTTGAGCTCCACTCCTGTGTCTCCTGTTTTGGTTTGAAACCCATCTCAAGCCCCTCAGTTCTCCCTGAAAGAATAAATGGAACATTTCCCACTTGAAACAATACAAATTTCAGACTCACTTTATTTAATGAAACAAATGTGGATATCCCCCATTTCATGAGAAAATTGAAACAGTCCATTAAAGCTGAATTAATATACAAATAAACACAGATAATCTTAGTAATCATAAAATCTGCTGAGCTGCAGACTTACTCCCGACTCCTGGTGATATCATTATGTCAACATTCATGAACCCTCTTCAACCCACACATCAAATAACAAAGATCCCAAGGATGGCATCTAAAAATGGTAATGTCTGTGTTTTATAAAACTGAGGAGGGGGAGAGGGGACATGGACGGAGGGGACAGGGAGGAGGAAAGAAAACTGCAGTTGGGATGTATAAGTAAATAAAAATATTAAAATAAAAATCTGCCTTCTCAACTTACCTACTTTTATTTTCACAATAATTCTGTGCATATCTTTCACTAGCGTTATTTTGATAGAGAAATGAAAATTTGAAGTTCATAAAATTAGGTTAAAAAATTTTAAGTAACACATGACCAAATCAAAACCAAAAGTCATATAGATGACAGAGAAATTAGAATAAGCACATAATTTTTGTGTCAAGTTCTAACTACTCTCTCAGCAACAGTGTCTAATCAACCATCCTCCATCTTTGTGGCTTTCATGTCTTGGTATTCACAGTACTTCACAGTGTCTCACACACACTGAATCCCTTGTCACATTCCAATGGGATAAGTCATGCAGAATGACAATACATATGGTCTTCAGATGTAGAAACTGGGATCTCAGGAGACAGATGCAGTTGGCTAAGTCAGCCTAATATAAGAATAGCATGTGATTTTATAAAGCTGTGTTAAATTTCTGTCCTATTATGGAAAGGAATGTGTTCTCTTAATAGAACAATTATTCTAGAATTTCAGAACCATGTCATAGTGTATGTTATAATAACCTGCTCATCCTGATTACCCCTCTTGGAGATTGGTGCAAGCAATTAGTTTACAAATGAAAGCCCAGCCTTTTATTACATGTTTTCTATTAAGTCAAATATTAATGCTTTATAAAATATATGTTACATTTTTTAGATAGGGCTTTGAAGCTGAGGGAATAGCATTGACAGTGTTTGTCTTGCAAGCCTGAAGACCTGACTTTAGAGACCTAGAATCAGGTATAGCTGTGTTCATCTATAGTCCCACTGCTGGAGGTGAGAAGCCTAAGACAGGGAGATTCCCGGTACTTAGTGATCAGCCTCTCTAGCTGAATCAACAGGTTTCAGAATCAATGAAAGAATCTGTCCTAAAGAACCTAAGGTGGAGCATGAAAGAAGAAGATAACTGATAGACGTCTCTGGCCCTCATACATATATGCACACATGCACACATACCCAAACACTGACCAACAATTCATGAAACACACACACACAGAGGCACACAGACATACATGCACTTGAGCCATTAGGAGAGGACTGTCTAATATAGCCCAGGCTGACGTTTAATTCACTATATCGTGAAGACTATCTTTGAATTGCTGATTCTCTTGCCTTTATCTCCCAAGTGCTGGGATTACAGACAAGCACTGTGACACCTACCTAAAGTCTGCCTCTTAAAAAATCATTTCCTCTTTTCTCAATAAGCAAAGACTGACCAATTCCCCTCAATCCCCAACCACTATGTGATTCATACTCTATATGCCCATAAGCACAGCCAATTCACTAGAATCAAAGTTCTGGAAATCACTCTTATTCTTCTTAAAACACAGATTACTGCTCCACCCAGGTTTGTCTCAGGTAGGGACCATTCCTAACAAATCCCCATGCGGTGCTGATGCTGCCTGTCAGGGTACCACTCTTTGAGAACCACTGTACTAGCATCCTCCACCCCAAGTGTGCTTCCATAGCTCCTTCCAGAAAGTGCTTTGGATGGCAAGACTCAGGAACGTATCAACCACATGACTTGGCTTCCCACTGGAAGCTTCTATCTGGAAGAAAAAGAGAAATATTTATCATGACTCATTGCCTCTTTCAAAACTTTCCAGCCAGCAAATTAGAAACAGAAAAAGAGTTACAGGGGAAGAAGCCCAACGATGCTGAGAGGACACTGTCAAGATCTCAGGATCTTATAGCGTGGGTCGTCAAACCAGTTCTACTGGGTTTCAGCAGACCAAGCCACACTGGAGGCTGGTACCTTCATGTTCCTAGCAAAGCCAGAGCCCAAGCCTGAGGATTCCTGTAGGGGAGCAGGGGGAGGGGTGGAGCTCAGAAGCCAGCTCACATTCTTAGTTTTGGCTTCTTGTGGCAGTCAACGGTAAGATTCTTTTCCCCTTGTAATTATCCAGATATATTATTGGAGATCCATTTTTTTATTATTGGTTACTTTATTCATTTACATTTCAAATGCTGTCCCCCTTCCCGGTTTCCCCTCCATAAACCTCCATCTATCCCCTCTTCCACTGCCTCTATGAGGGTGCTCCCCCACCCACCCATTCTTTTAAGCGATACCCTTCCTAGAACTTCTTTCTTTTTCCCCCAAAGTATCCATTGTCAATAAGCAACATCTGTGAAATCAAGTAGGTAAATTCTGAAGAGACTGGCAAAGTAATTTCCTTAGTTTCTTTATGTAATTATCACCTCTCGAAACCTCCCAGAAGAGTTTTTTAATTCCATTTTTTTATCTCTATGGAGGAAAATGAGGCATTTTATGCTATGCTATAAAACAATTCTGCATTCATATCACAAGTGTGACTATAATTTTAAATAGCGTATAACATTCAGTGAAAAAAATTGATGAGAAGCATTTATCTCATTTTATTTCTTGTTTGAAAATAAGCTTCTGGCAACAGCATTAACGCAATCACACACGGCGGGAGCCACTGACCTTTTATTCTGATCACCACGAGCCCATTGGACTATAATGCATGGGTCAGCCAATGAATAACATGCTGTCCAAAGGTAGTTTTTTCTGCCTTAGTCCAAAGAGTAGAAAACAGAAGCATAATGGTACAGTCACTGAACACTCTGATTTTTAAATAAGTCACTCTGTATGAGGATGAGTCACAAGTACTTCCTTAGTGATAAAGTTGTCTGAGTAACAGGGATGCTTCACTGAGTGAAGAATGGGACACTATGTTGGTTTCAAACCCACAGTCATTTCCTTTACTTAATTGCTAACTGCACTTCCCTGGCTACAGTGTGGGGCTTGTGTTTGAGCTGGTAACCCAGCAACAAAGACTCACACTGCAGTTTGCGAAGGAGAACAAAACAGTAAAGTTCACATTTCCATGGATTTTGGGGAGTAAAAGTCAATGTTGTTTCCCCAGGGCCTTCTGACTTTATGAAGAAATTCACTTGGATCTCAGGGCAGCCATATCATTATGCAAGTCTTAGAGAAGTAGAAGACCCAGCCTCTCAGCTTCTTGTGTCCTGAGCACGAAGCAGGGAGCCTGGACCATGTAAGTCCTCAAAATGTATCAGCAGGGATGGTTCCTGGTTCTCTCAGAGCAACTCTGTCTGTTAAGGATCATGCCATTATTGCTTTAGAATTTCAAAGGCATTTTAATATATGAATTTTAATATATGAACATGTGCTTTTCCTTTTGTTTACACCTTGGTACTGCTGTAGGTGCCGCTGCTCGGTCTTGCATCCCCTCCCCAGGCACAATACTCTAAGATGTACTCTAATACACCCTAATTTTTAGATGAAGCAAATGTTGATAAGCATTTTTTCCTTAGAAAAAAATACGATACGAAAAAGCAAAAAGATGAACGAGAACAATTGAAAACTGGATAGCCAAAAAATTGAAAACTTGATTATCAGTAACACTTCGGCTTGGCCTTGGAACACTCCAGATTGCCCTTGGACTTGTTGAGCTTCCTCTCACTTCCTGCAACTCTTGCATTATTCGTAGATTGCACAATGTGTATCCTGTGAAGGACTCAAATGCTAAAACTCTTCCCTTCTATTGAAGCTAACAGAAAGGGTATAAGCCACAGAGTTCTTACTTGTAGAAGTTCTTACTTGTTCTTACAAGTTCTTACTTGTTCTTACTTGTAGAAGTAATACACTCTCAAACTCTGCTCTCTTTATTCCTATTTCCACTAGCAAAGAGGGGATAGCATTTTTATTCACTGAATTATATAGAAGGGTCAAGTGACATCACTATCAACTCATGCTGATAGGTCGAGTCAAAAGTAGAGAATAAACTTTACACAGAAAACCCCTAACATGTCCACAATCCGGTGATGATTCAGTAAGGGCACAGTGTTCTTTGAATTAAAATTAGTCCCGTTGCTTTCCCAGAACAGGGGGAAATGCAAAGACAGACACTGTACTAAGAATGTCAAAGAGACTCCAGTATCACCCCCTCCCTGCCGATGATGAGCATTCATCCTACCATAAATGTGATGTGTAGGCTCTTGGGGTAGGAAACTCATCAACAGTCTCACCAAGCTACAGAATGTGCATACTACTCTACTGCACCACCAAGCAAGATGTGAGTACTGGTGTGGTAGTGGCTCTACTATTTGGTAGACAACTAACAATGTTGTAACTGGATAGGAACCCTGCCAGACACAAAGGAATCCACACCTGGTATTATAAACCTGGCCAAACATCTGTATCTGGAGATTTTATAGGCTGAAGGGAGTGGTACTACCGTTGTTATCTATAAAAAAAATATATATTGTCAAACGGTCTTCTATATATTTATGCTTATAGCCATAGTCTAGTGTCTCTCTGAATCTGGGACAGAAAAGCTCCACTTAGTAAAAAATGACAGTGACTGCAGAAACTATAGACAAAGTGCTGAAATTAAGCAACTGTTTAATGCACAGCCCTAAAAGGGACATTTACATCATCTGTATCCCCTAGAGCCCAGGGGACATGACAGAACAGGAGATAGAAAGAATTAACAGCCAGGAGATGGAAGAGAACTCCATCAAATGCTGTCACTCAGATATGATATGGGTATTGTGACCATGAACACCAGGCAGCTACGATTACCTAAATAAGATTGAGTCCTTCATCATTCCATCATGAATAGAGAAGGTGCCAGGGAAGCTCCATCTCTTTCAAAGAAACCACTGATCGTTGTCACTGAAGGAGATGATATGATTTTCTTTCATGTTGTAGCCACTGGGAATCACAAAAGGTTCAGATAGAAAGGAAGGCATTTTAATAGAGGGTAATGAGGGTCATATAATCACAGTACAGTGTTTATATGTATGAGACTTTCAAAACTAAAGGAAAGTAACAAGAATGTTTTCAGTTCTGTAAAAAAAAACCTATACTTCAAAAAAAATTTTTTTATTATTACCTGATCTCTCACATAAATATTTCCATGAAAAATAATAGTAACTTCCCACTACTTGGGAACTATATGACCTCAGTAAATTAGCAATTTCCCAGAATGCCAATGTAATTGGCAAATTTTCTATTATTAGCATGACCTTTCCCCAAGTCTTTAAAAAGTGATAAAAACAACATTATGAGCCACTGGACACATATGTATTAGTTTTGTTGCAATAATCCGTATAAATAACTACACGGCAACAATTTCTTTTAGGACTCTGTTAAATGGCATCTCAGTTTTTTAACTAGACTGCCAGGGATTTTTGTTCCCCATCTTCTTTCTCTTCTACTCCCCTCTCCCCCCAACCCCCATTCCTAGAGTAAGTGAACTGGGAGAAATCCAAAGAATCCAGCTTCACTTCTCCATATAACATTTGCTGGAATTGTTTTGATGTCTACACAAGGATTCCCTTCTGCACATTAACTAATGGTTTTGTTCTTTCTACCCACTCTCTACTTTCTTCCTCAATTTCAGATTGCAACAAGGCTATTAAGAAATTAGATTTTATGTATAATTCTATCGAAAACTCCTTTTCCTTCCCAAAGTTGAAAGACAGCTCTACAAGAATGTCTTGGAGTGCATTTTCCCCCTAATCTTTTAAGAATACTGTAGAGATACTGAAGACATCCAAGGTTTTATTGTATCCATAGAAACCAAACACACTGAAAGCAGATAGCAGGAAGTAATAGACAGCCAGCATGAGCTCTCATCCCTGTGAGTAGTGTAGAGCGTGAAGACAGTTCTGCTTCATCTCTGTGAGATGTTACTCTATACTGAGGAGAGTAGTAACTATCCAGCTTGATGGGAGACCTTAATAAACAATGGGTTTGCTGCAAATTAATTTCCCACCTATATTGTTCTGCCTAGAATATGCTAATTTTTAAATTGCTCTGTCTGGAAAGCCCTGAGGTGTGTTAGCTTCTGTCTTTCCTTTAACTTCAGCCTCTAAGAATCACCTTCACTTCAGTTTCCTTTGATCTCCTACACACAGCTCTCAAGTCAGTCTCCCCAGCTCATCCTGGACAACAAGTAACAACAAGTATGCCTTTCTCCTCAGAAACCACAGTGAATTCCCACTGCCCACTGCGTCAATTACCAACTCCTCTCCCTGGCATTTGGTCTTCCAACGCATGGTCCCATGTTGGCTTCCAGTTCCCTTCCCCCATCCCTGTTTCACAATCCAGCAACTCTGAGATTCTTGATATTCCTTAAAAGCCTCCAGGACTCTCCCATCCGAGCAATCTTTGTTTACACTGATTGTCTAGCATAGGAAATCCTTTCTCCACCATAGCCTACTGTAGAAACCACACAATTCTTCAAATGTCTCTTACTATGCACATTTTCTGATCTCTATCTTATTGATATAATTTCTCCATCTAAACCCTCCCGCATTGTATGCATATCCCATGATGCCCAGGCTGGCCTTGAACTCACTATGTAACCTAATGCCTCCATTTTCCATATACTGGGACTACGATCATAGCCACCAGATCTGATTTCTCACCTGCTTCTTAGCATCTCTGTACATGTAGGAAATGTGTCTGACTTTCTTCACTCTACTAAGAAGTGTGGAATACAGTGGGAAAATGAATATAAATTATTTTTTAATCTATGGGCATCATTGTCTTTATTAGAACTTAAAATTTTGTTGAGTACTGTCTCTGTTTATCATATGTACATTCACACTGACTCAATATAATGTTGCAAGAAGACATGGCCACACCTGCCATCTCCAGTTTGTGGCAGCGTGCACAGCACTGGCTAAATACTCAATAAATATATTCTGAATAAATTAATAAACGATATTGATCATGACTTGCCATAAAGTTTAAATTCTATCACATCAAATGTGACAAGCATGGTGTAGGAATGTGATAAATGACATTGAATGTTAGCCTTATTCCCTCCCCTTTCATTCACAGACTCAGCAAATATTTTTCTCTCGACACTGGAAAGAAAATAGTGAAAAAAGGAGTGAAGAAACTTTCATCTCTTGGAGCCCATGTTCTGGCAAAGGGATGGATAATGTTTTCTAGATCAGCTTAGAGTTTTGAAAGCAAAACCTTTAAGAAAAGGGGGTTATGACCTGAGACAGATGCTTTGGTGGAAATACTGAACATCTGGAAAAAGGGGAAATCCAGCTGTGGTACCACAGGAAGGAGGCACAAAGGAACTTATGCACTTGAACTTGATTGACAGCTATGTAACAGATGTGTGGCTGTGGGTATCAGTGGGACTTTGTCCCTACTGGACCTAAAAGCTGCCAAGTAAGGGAGTAGTGATGCCAAAGTATCCAGTCCTATTTCCTCAGGGTAGTACCCCAACAAGTGAAGCTGAGGAAGATGCTGTAGATGGTGGGTTTTAGGGCATGAGATGAGGTATGTCTAACTTTGCTTAGGATACTACTTAAAAAAACAGGGCAGAGTTTAGGTGAAAATGTTTAACTCCTAAGTAAAGGTATCCATATAGAGTAAAGGTGAAAACACATCCCCATCACTGTTGACTATATTCAGTGATGTAAAGTACCTGTTCCATGACTGGACCAAATTCCACAGGAATATGGAACCTACTAGCAAGATACCGAATAATGACCCTGCCTGTTTAGTTTCTAAGACATAGTAAATGTCTAAATGCTGTCCATGAATTGGATGATTATATGCTAACCAACACCATGAAAACAAACAAAGGAGACACCATCTTCCTGAAATAGATGGTCAAGAGCAGCTTGATGAATGCCATGGCATTGAATTCAATGTACATGGAATAGCTTTGATCCCGTGAGAACAAAGCTAAAGCACTTGTACCATTGTCTGCATTATAATGACTTAGGGTTTGCCTTGATTTTAGCCTCTTTGATTTTAATTTTGATACATAAAACTTAGGTGTGTTTATAGGATGCTACATGATATTTATGCCTTTATGGGTGTTTCATTTGTTTGTTTAGACGGAAAACAGGGTTCCGAGGATCCTTGGCTGTCCTTGAAATAGCTATGTAGAAAAAAAATGGTCTCAAACTTCTGATCTTCCTGGCTCTAGCTTCTAAGTAGTAGGATTACAGGTTTGCATTGCTTTGCCTATTTTCCCCACCATCTCATTTCTAGTATTCATGCAGAAGGATCTGCTATCTGCAGTCCTCTTGACATGACTTCCTGTAGGCAGCTCTCCCAAAACTCGATAGGCCACTAAGCTCCCATCCTCACGGCTGACTGACCCGTCAGCTCAAGTCACCATGTTAAACTGACATGGCCATAGCTTGCAAATTCCAAAATCACTCTGTTAAGTACTCCGATAGTGTTTGTGCCTGACCTACAAAACATATGACCATTCACTTATTTATATACACACTTGCATCACACATAAGTTCAGATTTAAAAATACTTCTGAGATAGGTTTTCATCGCAATCAAAAATAAATATGAAAACTAAGAAAGCTATGCTCATAGACAATTTTCTTCCAAAAATAAGCACACAGTCAATGATGGTAAGAATACACACTCCAATATACTGATTTCTCTTTTTGGTGAATATCATCTAGTGGATAAAGTGTTCTCCTCTCTCTCTCTCTCTCTCTCTCTCTCTCTCTCTCTCT